AATTGGCTGCCCCAATACTTCTGAGACTTGCTGTAAAGTGTAAGAATTAGATCGAGATGTAACTGGTATGAAAAATTATACCAGTACCAATTATACCAATTTTCTTATTCTAATTGTCAAACAAAGAATCAAAGAAACAAATTCATGATTTTATATATACAAAAAATATGTACAGCATATTAAAAAAAATTGAGTAAATTATTGCTTTGAGAAGGAATAAATTAAAAAGCCATATAGAGAAATGGGTAATTACTTGTCATGAGTAATTTACAAGAGAACGGAGTACACTTAATACTGTAATATGTCTATTATACTGTTACGTCTAAAGCATCCAGCTTTTTGACATTTTTAAAACAGTGCTTTAATGTATTAACATTTAACAATTTCCATATTACATAAGATCTGAAATGTATCTTTCATAATGAAGCTCCAATTAAAATTTTCATTAAAAAAACGTTCATATTGCTGTCATATCGCTCGTACGGACACCCGTCATGGGCTTTGTCAGGATTCCCACGGGTGACTCTTGTATTGAAACAATATCAAGCGTATCTTCACATTGCTATCAACCAGAGTGTTTTCTAAAACAATACCCGTGTCGCTTTTAGCAAGCATGTGGCATATGGGCAGCTGACAGTGTATGACACCACTTGTAATAATATAATTCGTAAAACATTATCACCTGCGACAAATCAGCCCGTAAAGCAATTACCCACGAGGTGGAGGTGTTAAAATCACTATTGTATTTTTATACAATGTATTTTCGGGAAACCTATGCGGGTGTATTGAATCACTGTCCTATCATAAAAGGTGTTTTGAGTAATGTAATGTGTCAATTTGGAACACGTGATTTAGCTCATAAAAATATAAAAATAATGTTACCTTAGACTTAGGGGAAGACTGGTACACACATGACCTGAGTTCACTTGTTTGCTCTCTGGGCTTGGCCGTAGGGCCAACGCCCAGATACAACTTTTGTACTCAATTCGAAATCTATCTAATGGGTATAAGGTATGTATGGATTCTCTACGTAAAATGTCAAATTATTTCTGGGGGAAAATTTGTGTATTTTGCTTCTTTTATTTAATAAATTAGTAGATGAACACTGAATTCAACTCATGGCGTTCGCAAATCAAACTTGTATGCAAACCCGAGAAATATTATTGATCTGGCGGCACTAATTATTCATCATCTGGCTGTTCTCCTCCTTGTTTTGTGTAGTAATAACCTGAAATAAAATAAAATATGACTGGTCGTATACACGGAATTTAAAACTACAAAAAATTTCCAAATCAATCAGTGGGACAATGTGCATGTTCGTATGACCCACCAATAACAAATAATCTCCTGCAGTCATTTTCTAATCAGAAATTATGAATTTTATATCATGCCTGCATCATCCCATTTTTAAGCTTTGTTGATTTACATGTATTCATTGCCATTGGTTGTTTCTATATTGTTTTATATGATAATTTTGGTATATTGACACAAACAACAACATAGCATTTATTATGAATAACAATGACATTTATTGTGACTTGGTTTGACGTAGCTAAGGTTCGGAACAAATGAAAATTACTACACTCATATATGTACGAGGTACTTACTGATTCTATTGCAGCATTTACCACCTTTATTATAAATAAATAATGATATTAATACTACGGATATTATAGTAATTACAACACCAATACTAATTCCGACCTTCAGTCTGGTAGGCAGTGCTGATTCATAATCTGTGGTTGGTTCTATAATTACAATAAAGATAATGTGTACTCAATAATTCCATTATATTCAATGGTCGACATTAATAAAAGATTAAAGAAAAATAGTCATGACACTAAAGCACATATTTTTTCTTTATAAAGTTGATTATTGTAAATTCCAGTTGTAAAGTCCTTACACTGCCATTTAGCAGCATCTTAGTTATTTTACTCCATGATACACACTGATGATTATTTACAAACGATTAGAGACCCCCAATTTGTAGAGAGTACATTTTGTTGTCACAAACCCAGGTCAAAAACAAAACACCATAAACATGGATGCCAGTGGCGCTAATTCATTCCTTGTATAATCAATATGTGATTTTCCATTTACAGCATGATTTAGCATAATGCTTGAAAGGGGCGGTCTGGAGGTCTGCTACAAAAATCAAATGATTTGATTTTGAAATTCAAATTATATTTTTATAGTTCAATGTCAAAATAAAAAAATGGCATTTACATACTAAGGCTTCATCAAAATTGACTGCCATCAAATGTGTATATTAAGCGTGGAAATACACAAAATAGTTTAGCATTCACGAGACTCGAGTTCTTAGAATGGCCAATTTATGAATTTAAATTTAACATGAAGTGCTTTTGAAAATTTGGAATAATGGACTATAATGATTGTGAAAAAATACGTTTTGAAGTCAACGAGTATACACAAATAACACAATCATAATCAAGTTTGTGTGGTTGATTTATTAAATTATTGCTCATTAGACTTCCTTAAATCGATTGTTTTAAAAGACTACATACTTACTGATGGCTCTACTAAGGTTATATTAGGTTGCCATGTGAAACAAATGCTCATTTGTTGACAAATTTAAAAATGTTGGCCTACCTCAATCAACGTTGAAAAAATCGGTCATAGCAAAAAAATCATATATCTGACGTCATCAGATAAAAATCAAATTGTCACAGGTTCTAGGTAACAATAATTATCTGGAGTCCGGGCAAACTATTTGAGAAATTAGTTTTCGACTTGCGCTGATGTTTAGTGGGGACAACGAGACTAAAACAGTATTTTAAATTGACACACTGGCGCATGCATACTATATAGCCGTGTAGTAGCAGTCGCATCCATTCACATACTTAGCTGCTTTCTTTTTTTAACCTGAAATATATATATATTTCATATACCACACAATGTAGACATCGTCTAAACAATCACCCTTATGAAAAAACTGATGATTCTAAAAATATTTTTTTGGGGGTATTTTGGAAGTTGGTAATAAGTGTGCAAAAATGTTTCCATTGTAATATACAATTTATTCCTCGCAGATGTCCCCAAATCGTTTTGTATGATGGTTGCTGGAATATTTATCGACATTCAATATTATACAGTACTTACCAGGCAAGTCACACGGTTTAACTTCCGTACATATCTTGTCGCCAAGATTTTGGGCAACACAAGCTGGAATTTTAATTTCGTTGCCTGGGCAACACTCAACACATCGGGAGCATTGGGCAGTTCCTTCATCCAAGTACCACCCATGGTCACACACGCATTCATCAACAGTGGCATTCCAGTGCGTGTTAGGAGCATGGCTGCAATTTTGTTTAGTCGTCCTACCAGTCTCGAGCATCTGAAAATATTTTCAAAATCTTCATACAATGAATTTACATAAATATTAGGCTTTGTATCATAAGACGCTTGGTCATCAATGAAAATACTATGTTTTGTACAAACCTAGTTGAAATAATTGTAAATTAAAACTGAACTAATTTCAGATTGTAAGAGAGACCTCGTATTCGACCTGACGCAGCAATTGAAACATTTATTGCTCGGATACTGTGTTATAACACCTATCACTGTAGCAGTGAGCTGAATGCATTTACATTACCCAGTATGCTGTTACATGTGTATACAGTAATAGAAAATCTGTCACAACTCTTTTTAAACTTGTCAATCATTTCATTAGTGAAACAAATCATTCTAGTAAAAAAATGGATACTGATGACTGTATTCGCGACTTAACTTCCGAGTTGCATTTTGTCACCTCTGACATTGACGCAGGGAAAATACGTAAAGGAATTATACTGCTACCATAGTCGGAACACAGAGAAGAACTGGAGGTGTGCTGCTTACAAGTGTAATTCTGGTAGTCGTAAATAGCAAAAAAGTTTAAATAACAATTGAGATATTTGTAGCTGTCTCCACTTTTAATTTTTGTCATAAAACACGGCTAAGATCATTCCTGTGCTATTGTATCCATGCTAAAATTAAATGATCACATTTCTATGTTTTAATGGTAGCTAACTAACTTACTATGTACTTCTCGCTTGAAGGTCGTATCGTCATATGGCGCGCGCTGCATACAATTTGTCAATCCCCTTCATCTTTGTTACCCCTTAACTCTTTTAAAATTAAGCCAGTTGAAATTAGCATGTTTCTGCATATGTTATAACATATCAATACAAGATTCTAATTGGTTAACACGGTGACAAACGTACCATATTTTATGCGTCTGACAGGCTGGGGGTATAATTAAATGACTAAAGCGCGGTGGTCGTCGCGCGGCGCATGTTCGAATTTTATGTAAGTAAACAATGTATTTTACACGCGTTGTATACGTCGCTATGCGTCCCATATCGAACAGGACGTGGCGCGACAACTGTCGCCCTTTAATGATTAATGCCAAAAATGTGAGTAGAAAATAATGTTCAACACTCAATTGATCAGGAAAGACCACCTTGGCCACAAAGCGAGTTGAGTAACGTATTTTAAATCACCAGGTTTACGGACTGTAACTTAAAAGACGCGTTCGACCCACTTAGCTTTGGCATGAGTTTCTAATGACGATTACCACGATGACATAGTGAATAGTGAAATAAACTCACATATTCCATTACAAATCAATTGCTTAGCTCATTCATTGACCATGCATCCGCCCGCCCCTCGATCTAGAAATCAAATTCAGGAGGAGGTTGCTACTTAAAAGTGTCTTTTACATAATGAGAAAGTTGTACTCTCCACCTGGATCATGCAGGAACAAACTAGTTCTATAACACAGACCGCTTGCTTGTAAATGTGGACGAAGAAGCATTTCTTTCTTAGTAAACAGTCATCGTTTTGAACAAAGAAACTACTAAACATAAATTGTAGAACAAAGACAGAATACTTTCATATTAAATGTTGACAAAGAAAAGGTACTCTGAGTAAAAGCTAACAAAATATACTTGACTAATTATACTATCCTCTACCAGAACACTGTATTGAACAATTGGCTATGCCTTTCATTACGGGTTAATCAGGCATCAAAGTTGTTCTCTCACATTTTAAAAGAAACATGTTTAGTTCAACGAACCATAGGTCCGCTGATCTATACTGATGATACTGTCGTTTGAAAGCTGGGTGTCTGGATGGATGGATGGATGGATGTGGGCAGCTTCTTCTCAAAAAGAACCAGACCGTTCGACTTTATGTTTGTTGTGTAGCTGCCTCGATGGGTGTAGATGGAAATTTGTTTAGAAGTCAATCCGCCAAAAAACTATACAAATGAACTACCATAGGTTGACAAGATTGGTAACAAGAGTACAACAATTGTAATTGCCATGGCAACAACCAAAGAAGTCCCATGGTTGTTATATGGCAAAAACATTGTGGGAACACTATTAAACATGACAATTAGTTAATATCTCATCATGTAGAAAAACTTTGTTTTGAGACACTTTCCAACTTGTTTTCTGGTAAAAAAAATGTGTTCTTCTTGTTGAAAACTACAAGCTGAATTTGTAACAAGGTGACAAATGGAATTGCCAACCCAGACAAAAACACACAAAAAAATACATGTTATCATTATTATTACCTGTTAAATATCACTTAATTTTCCTACCTCCAAATGAAATGCCTTTCGTGGTTTGGCGAAGACTATGAGCGGCAGACAAATTGGCTTATTTTGTACTGACACGTGACTCAAACCACGTTTATTTAGATTAGCTAAGCTGTGCAGTAGCCACACTACCGACTGAGTAGACTGGCAGAGTCGGGACTTCGTTTTTGTTTTACAAAAAAATAATGTTTTAAGTCCTTTTCCCGTGATCGCGAAAACTAACGTGACCGCGAAAGGAATTATATTTTTCATGTAAGGCCAAACTTTTTTATTTCCTGTTTCACGAGTTTTTATAAGGCAATTTTTTTGAGGAGGGCGGAAAAAATAAAATTAATTCTTTATTTCCATTAGATTTGTGTGATTCTCAAGGAATTGTAAGTGAGATCATTGATCGGTGAGAAGAAATGAAATAATATTTTATTCCATGTATAACCTTGTTTCTCATCTGCGTGAGACTTCGGTACTTTGATCATGATATTCCCACGAAATGCAACTTGGATTTGTTATGCGGCGGGCGGTAAAAAAATTAAGATGAAAATAATATTTTTTCAGCAATTCTTTGCGCTTACAAGTCGGCGGGCGCGAGAAATTACGCCTAAATAAAATTTAATTTTTATTTCATTTTCGGATCCAGTTCATTCGGCGGGTTCGCGAAACAAGGGATAATAAAAGTCTGGCCTAAAACAAAAAAAGAAGTCCCGACTTCTCAGTCTACCGACTGAGCTAAACAGGGGATTGGTGAGGGAAAGCGGCAAGTGGTTGGCGATTTCACATGTATATATCAGGTGCATCGTGTACATTCTGATCTGACCATCAGTCCATTGTTCATCTTTACCAGCATTTAATTACCAATGACTATGATTACCAACTGCTATTTTCTATATATTATATGCATTGTCCTGGATTGGAAATGTTGTAACTGTAAATTTGTAGAATTCTGAATATATAAACATGTATTGTACTGTTAACTCTCTATAATAACAGCGCTGCATCCCAGTATGAAATGAATTACTTAAATTTATATTTTTGGTTTAAAAACGCTTACCTTAAAGTGAAAGGCCTTTGTCTCGTCTGACAATGCTTGCTGCTTCTCATTCTGCCCAAATACCGTAGCCACTAACAACGATACGATGAATGTTGACATGATTTTCTGTTAAAATTCAAATTGAATCTTATTTTTATTTTTACTATTTCTGGCGTATTTATCATATATAAATTTCCACAAGTCTTGCGAAATTACACATCTGGTATTTTTACAATATGTATATAAAATACCTGTATTGCAAAAATGTCACCTTCTAGTTTAATACACAACACAGTAAAAGATGCATACCGCATACGGTTATTATGTGATGTTTGAAAGAAAATACATAAAAACAGCTGAACACTTTTAAATAATGGACTTCTTGGTATATCTCAGATTTACATTTATCGATTCATACGAATGAGGAATATATACGCAACACGACAGTAAACAAATAATAAAGGGTTATTTGTTGGGATCACCAATCGAAACACAAATTAGTAGGAACATTTGCCACTGTGTATGTGATATACAAGATGAAATGGGTTAAAGAATGTCCATAAATAATGACATTAGATGGACGTTGAAGGTATCAATGGACTAACTAAGGCAGTGTATACGTCACAGTGTCAGTCTTATCACGCGTTATGAGGCAATACAACACACATAGGAGTTCACCACCTGACATATTATTGTTTTATGAGATGCTTTTATACACTGTATGGTGTTTTGGCAACTAGAATTTAAAACAAACAATATATGGTCAATAATTCATCTTAGCCTACGGTTTTATGGTACTCTAGTCTAGTCACGCTTAAATTACGTGCTTTATTGTTCATATATATCTAGGTGTTTTCCTTAAAGTCAAATAAACTATTGAAGGAATGTTAATGCTAATGTTAATACACTGAAATGCAACATGTAGTACTGGTGACTGTAGCCAACTGTTACATGTCCTACAAGTGATTTAGATTTCATTTTGTATACTGAAGATTAACTTCAAATATCTCCAATGTAATGGCTAGCCAGTTCTTTACAATAAACTGGTAAAAGACCTTGCAATAAACAAGTTTCTGGATGTGCAGTACCATTTGCGATACAGATAGTAGCAATGCGTTATTGCATACATACTTACTGCGAATGGCGACGTCTAGTTTGAAACTCTCACAAAAGTACCTCAATCAAATTCTCACTATGGCGTCAACTAAGAACAACGTAAGGCTGTGTATGGTTGTGTAGTTAATAATTACACTTTATTGTGTGATTGATCATTGATTGCTGATGATTGGACAATAAATGACGACACGTAATATGAGGTTAAATGTTAACATTACGTATAATGGCGGTAATGTGACGTGCTGTACACGAGGTTGTATTCGTCTTTATGAGAAGGGTTCGGGTAACCGAACAACGCGACCTTTGTCAATGAGTTTACTGCATGAATGAACCTTTTCTACTCGGACTACACACAGGGGTTAATACACGTACATATAATATAAGCATTTATTTTATAACTTGTAACCTGGAATTAATTGGCAATAAATCAGTTTGTGCAAAATCCAAATTGTACTGGCTAAAAGTGTTAGATGCCAACCTTCAAGTTGGCTTAACAGAGTGTTATAGCTTAGAAATGTATTCACAGTACCATTTAGGAGAACAAGAAAAAGGAAACTGAATCAAAGAATCAATATCAAT